GCCTACCTGCCTGGCGTTGGGCGGAAAGTGGGGTGCTGGCGCTGTGGCGGCCTGGCGTGCGCAGTGGACCCTCCCCACTCTTCACAGCTGGGCCATCTGTGCAGTGCGTCCACGAGGCTCCTGGCCAGTGTGCGGGCGCCAGCGAGAGCCCCCAGGCGCCCAGGTCTCAGGTGCCGCTTGCCCCGCTTGGGTAAGGAAGAGGTCCCTGGAAAGGGCCGACCCGTGGTCACGCCAGGCCCGCCCTCCCTCTCTGGTCTGGGTGCCTCATCTGTAGCGTGGCGTTAAGACGTGCGGTCACCGGGCTGGGGGGTGAGGGATGGGGCCCGTGCTGAGGGGCTGGCAGTGCTGGTGGCCGTGGGCTCTTGCGTGGAGTCCACGAAAGGGCTCGTTTCCAGGGCCTGGCGGAGTCCCTTCCAAGCCCTTCCAAAGTCCAGAGCCCGCACCGTCCCCTTTGCCACGAATATCCTTTCCCTTCCAGTGGCTGCCTCTCCTGGCCCTTTACCACACAGCACAGCTGTGGGTGAAGTTCCTTATCCCAGAATGCTCTGGGCCAGTGTCAGGGTGGCCCTGACCGCTCTGCAGATGTCTTGTGTCTGTGGCCCCGTCTGCTGTTCTCCCAGTGCCCCGAAGGCCTAGCCTGGCTCGAGGCAGGGCTCCCACACAAGTGCCTGCCTGCTGCATAGCCTGTGTGCACAGCCGGGCAGGACTCTTCCAAGCACCAGGGAAGTGGGGATAGTTTGCTCCAATGGTGTTGGGGTGTCTGCTGTGGGCTCGGAGTGAGGCCGACCTGCGAGGGGGTGGGTAAGAGGTGGGCTCAGGACAGAGGAAGGGGGGCGGGGTGGTACCCTATGGGTGTCGGGAAGCCTTGCTGAGCAAACATAGTGTGAAGTGGGGAGGGGGTTGCACTGTGGTTCTTCTGTAACAGCAGGGAGGCCAGGGGACAGAGCGGGCCCAGATTGGAATGCGACCTGGCCCCACAGGGTGGTCCTTGCCGGCTTTGCTGATTACCTGTCAGAGGCAGTATGATGAGCAGGGCCAGAGGCCAGAGGCCGGGCCAGGAGGTGGCTGCCTCTTACCTGGTGCAGGTAGCAGTCCTGAGAGGTAGGTGCTATTACCCCGTCTTTACAGATGAGGACCAGGCACCTGGTCAAAGTCACACAACCTGGCTGTGATGGCCGAAGTGCCAACCCACCTCAAGAGACGTGCAGAGGGCAGCTGGCATGGTGGGGTCAGCACTCCGCCTGCCTTCCAGCCACTGCCCTGTCCTCCTCTGGCCACTTGGGCCTGCTGGCCTTTTCCCTGTACTCTGCCCTCCCTCTGCTTCCCCCTTCTGGCGAATACTCCAAGGGCAGACGGACAGATGCTCACACGGACGCTCACAGGCCCCACTGTACCACAACAGCTCTCTTCATCTGGTCCCCTTTACAGAAGACCACCTGTGGGGGAGACCTTCCCCGTGTACCACAGGAGAAACCGAGGCAGTGACCTGTTCAAGGCCACGCAGCTGGTGATGGTGGAAAGGAGGTTTGGACAGGGACCCCAGCCCCCTGGCGCCTACCTGATCCCTCACAGTCCCTGACACGCTGACCTGGTCCTCTCTTAGCACCTTCTGTGGGCGGAAGCCTCCTCCAGGCCCCACAGGGGTGTCTTTCCCCCCTTCGCATAGCCCCTTACCCAGACCTAGAGCTGCTCCCTGGCATGGAGACCAGGGGGCACCTCGTGCTGGCCCGGTGCTGATCTGAGAGGTCTTGGCACGCGCCCAAGACTGGCTGCCTGTCTGGGGCCTGTGTCTGTTCCCTCACCACCCGGCAGGGACCTGACCCACTAGAGCAGCCTGATGCATCGTGGCCCTCCTCTTACAGAGCACTCACTGGGGGCGGGGGAGGCACATTGCCAAGTAAGATACCCTCGCAGCAACCCTATAACCCCATGTTAGAGATGAAGAAATGAGGCTCTGAGAAGCGATGAAGTGACTGTTTTACCCAACAGATGAAGTCCTCGTAGGCAGAGTCCCAGGTCGGCTGCAGGGAGCTGGGCCAGGGTGGCTGTGCCCACATGGTGAGAGTGCCACCACCCCTAGACAGAGACTGCCCCCTCCCCTGATCTACTTGCCCCACCCTGCTGTCCCTCCCAGACCCCCTCTTCTCTCCTCCATCACCTCTGTGCTGCCGTCTCTCTCCCCTTCCCCCGTTTCCCCAGAAGGGCATAGCTTCCTCCCACTTGTCTTCCTGCTGGGGAAACCCCTTCCTCCCAGGATTCCACACAGTTCTGGGCTTGGACCAAGGCAAAGGGCGGCAGCAGCCCCTGAAGGGGTGAAGGGTCAGGAGGCAAGCTGCAGGGGAAGAGGCTGGGCTGAGGGGATGGAGGACTTGGTCCCACACGGGCTCGATCCCCATGGCTGGGCCGGGCACTCCCTGCTGGACCCACTCTGACCTCTGGCGGGGAAGGACGTGTCCCTTCCAGCTCCTGCTGACTCTGGCTCCTCAGGAGCCCCGGCAAGGGGAGGGTTTGTCTGTCCCAGAGTCCCCACCTCTGCGGAGACAGCGAGTGGGGCTGGGAAGGAGGAGAGCCAACGTCCCAGGCTCCCTTGGAGCACATGGGGAAAAAGTTTCTGGAGGGAAACCCAGCTTTCTGTGGGTTAGGAGCGTCTGCCAGAGACGTGGAGGCTCCTCAGCGGCCAGGGGTCCTGCAGGGGCTGGTGTTTGTCAGATTAGACAGGCTGGCTTCCTTCTTGTTCCAAGTGTGTGTGTGTGTGTGTGTGTGTGTGTGTGTGTGTGTGTGGCACAGGAGAAATTCAGGGTGGGAAGGCAGACCTCCTCAAGGGGCCTCCCCCTCAGTCTCTAGGGTCCCCTTGTCCAGGGTGACTTTCTAACCCACCAAGCCGTGGTGTTTGCAGTCGCTTCCCTTGTCCAGAATGCCACACCCCCTCTGACCCCGAGGCAACGACCTGCAATTTGGGTCCCAGTGAGCCCCAATTTTGCCCTGAAGCTGCCTTCAGTTCTGGGGTGGGGGGAGGTCTGTCGCTGAGCCAGGCTCTCTTCCTCCTCTCCCTCCTTCATCCTGGGGGCCCCCATGGACTTCAGGGCGCTAGGGTGCCTGATGGAGGGCAGTGAGGAATTGGGGGTAGGGGCGTCCCTGCCCCCGTTACTTTGGTACACATTCCCTTGCACCTGCCCTACTTCATTGGGGAGCACCGCTCTGTGTACCCAATGTCTGTCACAGCGGGTCTGGGGCAGGCAGCGTCCATCCTCTCTCATTCCCTCCCGGGATCCTGCAGTTGCGCGGTGGACAGCAGAAGGACCAGAGGGCGACCGGACAAGCAGAACTTTATGTGAAGGGTGGGCGGTTCCGTGGCTCCGCGGCGCCGTCAGCGCGGGAAGATGCTGCCATCCACACTCTCCTCCAGGATAGTCTCCACTCGCCTCCGCTGCGGGGAGAGGAGCTGGGGCCGTGTGTGCGTGGGGCGGCAGGGCCCCCCTCCCTTTCCCCAGGCCTATGGGTACCTCTTGCCGGTCCAGGGGGTCGGGGATCCTCTTGGGCTTCAGCTGTGGCGGCAGGAACATCTCCAGCCGGATGGCGGCGCGCGCGGACTTTTGCCGCTGGATGAGGAGTGAGATCTCCTCGGCCTGCGGGGAGCGGGGAGGAGGGTGTCGTGAGCGGGCGCGGCTCTTGTCCCAGCCGTCTCCCCCGCAGGACACCCCGGCCGCCCTGGTCCATTCCCGCGCCATTCCCTCCCGCACGGCGCCCCGTCGGTGCCCCACCCCGTACTTCCCGGTATCCCCTCGGCCCCACCCCGTGTCCCGCCGGTCCCCCGCGGGCCCCGCCGGCCTCTCCCTCACCCTCATGCGGGTGTAGCGCAGACGCAGGGCGCGGACCCGCCCGCGGGCCTCGGCCGCCTTGAGAACGCCCAGGAGTCGGTTCTGCCGCTGCTCAGGCAGTTCAAACTGCTGAGTCCATGCGCGCGGGTCAGGCATGCGGTCCACCAGCTCCAGCGACTCGCGCGGGAAGACAGAGGCGGCCGCGCCCACATCCTCGAGCAGGTCGCCGAAGAGCAAGTGGCGGTGGCGCTGCGCGGGGCGCATGGCTGCCAGCCCCTCCAGCGTCAGCGCCCAGCCTGGCTTCGGTGGTTCCGCGAGGGGCGCCCCCTTAGCGCGCCCCTCGCGGGGCCCCGCAGCCGGCGCACTCTTTCTGGCCCGCTCCCGCGGCCCCCTGCGCCCGGCCTCCTGTGCCGCTGACGGCTGCATCCTAGGGCCCTGCCACGGGAACGGCGTCCAGGTCGAGGCCGAGCAGTGACCCCTTTCCGCACCCGCCTTCAGCCAACCCCATGTGCGAGACAAGCTCGGGTCCGCGGTCCGGCACTTAAGGCCTTAGTGGCCTTTGTGCAAACAGTTCCCTCTGCCCAGCGTCCCCTCCCCATCTTGGCCTTCCAGCAGTCAGCTAGAATTTTCTGGTGGACTCGGAGTTTCAGGAAATATCCTTCCTGCTGGACGTTTGTGCTGAGACCCGGAGTTGATCTCCGGCCCTAGGTAGGGGTGAGGACTAGTGGACCCCTCTGAGGAAGGGGACCCTCCCCTGTGTCTGCGGTCAACCAGACTGACAGCGTTGCCCCCCCCTTCCCCACGTAGTGGGAACACCAGGGTCTGGGCTGGCCTCTGTCACCCCACACCAACACCAGGACCCTCAGCCTCAGTGATGGGGACGCAGGTGGTGGGCCTCTATTACATCTTGGGCAGAGGACCCAAGGCCCTTGCAGATGGAGCTTTGCGGGGGACTGGTGTGTGTGTATCTTTGTGGGTCTGTGTGTCTGAGTGTGCTTGTGTCTGGATCAGTCTGTGTGAGTGCACATATGTGTGCCCAGGGAGGCTCAGAGCCAAGCGGACAGCTGGCTCCAGGCAGGAGAGACTGTCTTCCTGGCCTGTCCCCTGCTGGGTCTGGATGGGGGGGTGGAGGGGCAGAGTCCAGGAGGACAAGGGAGAAGAGGTCCTCTCACATCCCCCGGCCCAGCCCTCTCCTTCCTGCCCAGACCCAGCCCGTAGTGCCTCAGACCTGACCCTGGGCCAGGTCCCAATCCCGTTACTATCACCCTAGCTCCGACGATCCCCCCTCCTCTCCAACACTCACCCCTTCGTCCATACCTCTGCCTTCTCTGGAGCTTTCACCTCAGCCTTTGACTCTGGGGATTGTTGATGCGGTTGCCTGGCAACGGAGTCCTGCCCCTCCCCCAACCCAGCAGGGGCCGGATCCCTCCCGAGGTGCAAGGTCCCAGCCAGGTGGGTGTGCACAGAGGGCACCCCACCCAGGTGAAATGCCCCTTAGCCACCAGAACGCTCTGGGAGATGATTGCAGCAGCCCCCTGACACTTCCTTGCTCTTCTTTAGCCCCTTGCCCTCTGTCCCCAGTACCATTCCTACCTTGAAGAGGTCTTGGGGCCCTGGTTTTGGGGGTCTGGGGGCTCAGCTATGAGGAGAACCTATCCCCTCAGGATCCCCTCTACAATGGCCCAGGAGACCCACCCTGGCTGGGGAGCCCTTGTGGTCACAGAAGAGGGAACTGGGGCAGAACTATGGACCCCTCACCTCTACCAGGACAAATTTGAGGTCCAAGCGTCCCCAGGCATCCCCTAAGACCAGACCTGGGTTGTTCTCCACCCTCAGTCTCTGGATCTTGAGCCCTGTGTTTCGATAATCACATCTACTCCTGCATTCATTAATTTTATACTATATTCACTTATTTTATAATTTATCAATTTATCGATCAATTCTGTAATGTACTTAGAGTTCACCGGTTTCTCCTGTAATGCATTAATTCACATGTTCCTTTCATGACTTGAACGATGCTGGTGTGAGTACATTGGTAAATGCACAGCTTACTTGTGAATACGATGGCACCACAGGGCAGACAGAGCCCCTCATCCATTGATGCCTAGGCCAGTGGTGGTGCTGTTCTGGGCGTTGGTCCGAGCCCCTGGGTCCCTGCCGAGGCTAGGCCTTTCTGCAGGAAGCTGTTGACTGTTCCTGTTGTTTTTGGAAACTCTGGCCCTTGGCCTTCTCCCTGCCCCCAGCTAGGCCTCCTCTCCTGCCAGACCCCAGGCTCCAGCTGTGTGGGACTCTTTCAGCTGTCCCCTACACCTGCACTACCCAGCACCTGGCCCCCTGGAGGCAAACGGGGCAGGTTGCCTCCTTCAGGCAGCCTCACAGATGCTTTCTGGCGTGGGCACTGGGGCACAGGGGTGTGGGACTCTGGCCTGTTTACTGGAGTGAGGTCTCCCTGATGGGATGCCCCTTTGGATTCCTTGGTCCAGCCCAGGGGACATATGGAGGGCTTACTGGCTGCTGGCAGTGGGCTGGGGGTCTTAAGAAGTGGGGCATTTTCTTTTGCTCTGTAAGAAGGGACTTGTAACTTTCCCTCTGGGTTTTTTTTTTTTTTTTTTTTTTTAAATAGACTTTTTTAGGGCAATTTTAAGTTTACAGAAAAACTGCAGAAAGTATAGAGTTCCAATATCACCCCCCTCCCCACACGCACCCTAGTGTGGAAGAAAGGCCTGGAGACTTGCTCCCGTAAAGGTCACAGCCAAAGAAGACACCGATGGAGCAGTTCTACTGCACATGGGGTCGTCACGAGCCAGGGCAGACTGCCTCTGGGTGGCAGCTCATTTCGCCGGTCCTTAACACTTTGATTCCTGTGGTTCATTTGTTACAGCTGATGGACCGATATCGATACATTATTAACTAAAGTTGACAGTGTATCTTCGGGCTCCTCTTGGTGTTACGCCGTCCTATGTGTTCCTCCAGAACAGTTTCACCCCCCATCCCTCTGTTTTCGTAAGACTGAAGGACTCCCCCCCATCCTGCCCCCATACTTGGTGTGGCTCACCGGGCTCCCTGAGCACAACAGACGCCCCACCTGCTTCCCAGGAAGCTGTCCCCTACACCTGCACTACCAACCTGTGAGGACCCAGCCCTTGGGCCCTGGGCTCCGCAGGGCTGGGCGGGAGGCTGGGCTGGACCAGGAGGGGTGCTCTCATGATATGGTGCCAGAGCCGCAAGGGCGACAGCAGGAGGTTCTCTCTCTTCCTCTGATCTTGTGCCCAGGACGCTCAGAGTTTTCAAGGGCTGATGAAAAGACCAAGATCTGAAAGCATGTTTATTGGTGCCAAAGCGTGAAAAGAAAACATCAAAATTAAGTTAATAAACGTTATTAAATGACGGTAAAATGCAACATTATATTGAAAGGCTGAAATTCAATTATTTTGTCATTGTCTAAGGAGCCCTGTTGGAGCAGTGATTAGCCACTCGACTGCTAACTGACATATTAGAGCCCCTCAGCCCCTCCGAGGGAGAAGGATGTGGCCGTCTGCTTCCAGAAAGATTACAGCCTTGGAAACCCCGTGTGGCAGTTCTGCCCTGTTCTATAGGGTTGCTATGAGTTGGAATCGATGCAGTTTTGTCTTAGTTATCTAGTGCTCCTGTAACAGAAATAATACAAGTGGATGGCTCTAACAAAGGGAAGTTTATTCTCTCATAGTTTAGGAGGCTAGAAGTCCAAGATTCAGGGTGCCAGCTCCAGGGGAAGGCTTTTTCTCTCTGTCAGCTCTGGGGGAAGGCCCTTGTCATCAATCTTCCCGTGGTCCAGGAGCTTCTCAGCACAGGGAACCCGGGTCCAAAGGATGTGCTTGGCTCCTGGTGCTTCTTTCTCGGTGTTACGAGATCCCTCTCCTCTCTGCTTGCTTCTCTCTTTTATATTTCAAAAGAGATTGACTCAAAATACAACCTAATCCTGTAGATTAAGCCCTGCCTCATTAACATAACTGCCTCTAATCTTGCTTCATTGACATCATAGATTATCCAACACACAGGATAATCACATCAGATCACAAAATGGTGGAAAATCACACAATCCTGGGAATTATGGCCAACCAAGTTGATCCACATTTTTTGGGGGCACAGTTCAGTCAGTAACATTCCACCCTTTGGGCCCCCAAATTCATGTCCTTGCCACATGTAAAACACAGTCCCCCATCGTATCATCCCAAAAGTCTTAAATCAACTCCAAGTCCAAATTCCATCCTTGGGCAAAATTCCTCTTCATCTGTGAAATCTAGAATACAAATTATCTGCTTCCAAAGTATAATGGTGAAACAGGTACAAGGTAGACATTTCTATTACAAACGGGGGAAATTGGAGGGAAAAAAGGCATAACAGGCCCCAGAGCAAGTCTGCAGAACACATTACATCAGCTCTCAAGGCTTGAAAACAATCCTCTGCTCTCTCAGACCATTTAAGCAATGGCCCTATCCTCCAGACTCTGGGTGTTGGTCATACTCTCAGGATTCTGGGTGGAGGCCCCTAGGCCCTGGGCTTCAGTTCCACCTTCCAAGCCCACTGAAATGGCAACTCTGTTCCCTCAGCTTTCGGTGGCCCCATTCTCCTAGTCCATCTGAGTGGCGACCCTACCCCCTCGGCCCTGGCAGGCCCTGTTCTCCTGCCCTTGGGCATGGCAGGCCCACCCCCTCAGCTTTGGGCAGTGGATTTGGCCCCATTCCACTGGCACTCGTGAATGGCAGCCCCACACTCCAGAAGCGAGTTGGTGAGGATCTGACTCTTTGAAACCTAAGAGACTGTGGTCTCACCCTTTGAGACTCTGGACGCCTTCGCTCCACCCTTTGAGACCCTAGAGGTCATGGCCCCACCCTTTGAGACTGAGGCAGCTCTGCTTCCTGTGTTTCTTGTCTCTTCAGCTTCTGCTTCTTTGTTCCTTGACCTCTCAAACTCTCGTGCCTCTTGGGCAGGCCCAATGTCTGCCCTGCTCAGGCAAGTGTTCCAAAGCTCTTCAGGTCTACCAATAAGTGCATGGAGGCACCCCACTCCACCAGTAAACCTCTGCTGGAAGGCACTTAGCTCTCTTGCTCTGTGGGTTGTGGGTTGTGGGTCAATAAACCTAGCTCCACTATAAGTGCCTGGAGGCAGCCCACTCTGCCAGGAAGCCTCCTGGGCAAAAACACTCAGTTCTCTGGCTCCATGGGTCAGCTCATGCATGGTCTCACACTGGTCTGGTTCTGCTGCCACCATTTCTTTGCTGCTGCTTCTTGCCATCTGTGTCATCTTTGGTGTTACAACTCTCCTCACTTCTTTCTGAGTCCTCACCAGAATTGTCTTTGATGTCCATAATTCCACCAACAGTCTCTTCAGAGCAATCTAGGCTTTTACTATTAGGCATTTTAAAACTCTTCCAGCCTCTACCCATT